TTTTTTTTTGAGACAGGGTCTTACTCTGTCACCCAGGCTGGACTGCAGTGTCATGATCGAGGATCATTGCAGCCTGGACCTCCCAGGCTCAAAGGATCCTCCCGCCTCAGCTTCATGAGTAGCTGGGGCTATAGGCATGTGCCACCTCACGCAGTCGACCCCTAGTTACTTCTGCATTATTCTCTTCTTTGTCTGTCACAGCCATTATCACAGGATAGTGTAGATGCCTGTTTATCTGGTTTTGTAATCTTCCTGCAAGATTATAAGAGCCACAAAACAGAGACTGTGTTTTTCTACCCCCAGTGCCCAGTACAATGTTTGCACAATAAGTATTGAATAATGTGTCATAGTATTAGATGGCTCTAGTATTTTTGAGTGTTTATTTTTCTTAAAAATTCTTTTAATCTGTTGGATGTTTTTTAGTACATAGACTCCATTGATCTGGAGGCGATCACAGAAGCCGAGGACCCTGTGAGATACCATGAAGCGTGGCAGAAGCTATGCAAAGCTGAGTGAGTACCACGGCCCACGCACACCAGTTAGGACGGCACCATTGTACTTTTTTTGTAATGATTCAGTTTACCCTAATTGCTAATTTTCATACATTTTGAAAGGTAGTTTGGAGTACTTGTGGTTTTCGCAGGTGGTTGTGTCATGTTCATACTGCATTGATTTTAAATGTACCATGTTAATGCTGGTGGCATGTGCGTAGAAATGGTTTTATTTGGGGAGAATGGGGATACTGTACTGGAGGGAAAGTGTGTTGATTCTCCTGAAAGATGCAGAGATGAATGTCACATATACAAAGTTAAAGTACAAGAATGACAGCCTTTCTCTCTCTCTCTCTCTCTTTTTAAAAAGTGAAATTAAGTTTATTAGGAAAGTAAAAGAATGAAAGAATGGCTACTCCATAGGCAGAGTAGCCCTGAGGGCCGCTGGTTGCCCACTTTTATGGTTATTTCTTGGTTATATGCTAAACAAGGGATGGATTATACATGCATCCCCCTTTTTAGACCATATAGGGTAACTTCCTAATGTTGCCATGCATTTGTAAACTGTCATAGCGCTGGTGGGAGTGTAGCAGTGAGGATGACCAAAGGTTGCTCTCATTGCCATCCTGGTTTTGGTGGGTTTTAGCTGTCTTCTTTACTGCAACCTGTTTTATCAGCAAAGTCTTTATGACCTGTATCTTTTGCTGACCTCCTATTTCATCCTGTGACTTAGAATGCCTAACCATCTGGGAATGCAGCACAGTAGGTCTCAGCCTTATTCTACTCAGCCCCTATTTAAGATGGAGTTGCTCTGGTTCAACATTTCCCCTCACCCTTTTATAAGAGAACCCTTAATACTAAGGATTGCAGAGGGACGAAGATCCATCTTCTGTAACTTCTTCATGTTGAATAGGGGCAATGACATTCCTGCCTAATTATTGGAGTTTCTTGTATTGGGGTAGAGTCAGAAAGTGTCAGGTGGTGAGGGCCATTCACAACTCTGAGTTCTGACAAAAGGTGATATCTGGAAAGTTGATAAATGTTTAATTTAAGAAAACATTGAATAAACTTATTCTGCATTCCTATACAAAGAGTACAACAGCAATATATTCCACAACAGTAAAACAGAAAGTTATCCCAAGTAAACTAAATTAGAAGGCTTTCCATGAACTGGGCGACTGTTGGAACCAAGCTGATATGTGGTTGCTAGCTGATTCCAATACATATCCAGAATTAGGATATTGATCCAAATTTTTACATTACCCATCCCTCTTGTTTTTTTCTGAGCTGCAGTCAGAGATCACTGATTGTTTCACAGGAATAAGCAAGGTCAGTCTAAATTGCAGAAAAAAACTTCAAAAACAACCAATGAGATTAGAATCTATAATAATAACAAGTATACCATAGTTCTTGAAACATAATTTTTTCTCTCTCCAGTTTCCTATTTTTGCTAAAGACAAATCATAATAAGAATGATTTGCTTTATTATATTTGGCCTGATTATTTGTATAAAGTACAGCAAGGGTAATTATTTTTCACATGGGCTTTTAAAATTGGCTTTGATGGAACTTTATTCTGTAAGGAATCTCAGATAAGAGCATTTTTAAAGCCGAGCCCTGCCATACATTTGTACCCTCAAATACCTATGAACTGGGTAAATTCCTCTCCTTTTGAGGTGCCAAGATAACTTGAGGCTCCTGGACCTGTCAGATAGTGACATTCTTTAGTTACCACAGGTCAGAAACCCTGTACAGGGACTGTGTAGACAAGGTATGAGGCCAGTTTTCCCAAGGGCTAGCTCGTATTGGCTTTACAATTTAAGTTTGATTCTTTAAAGGAAAGCACACCATTCCAGTAAAAGCCTTGGTAATATAACCAGTTTCTCTCTGCAGTTGTGTCCTGTTGCAAAAGAAAATAGATTCTTATTGTACTTATGCAAACAACTATATTGCCATAAGTCAAGAGTACTCGCAAATAGTTTCCAAATTCTGGACAAATGAGGTAGACAGAAACAAATATTTTCCAAATTTTGTTCATAGGAGTATACTGTATTCAATTGTTATAAGCTGTATATAGCTCAAAAGAACCATTTTTTTGACTCTGAAAAATGAAAGGATCAGCAACATTTTAAGCAAAGTCAAAAAGATTAATTTTCTCTTAGTTCATTCCATGTAGCTAACTCCTGTTCTGCCTGATAGTCATATACATTTCAGCTCTCCATGAGAATCCTGAAAGATTTTCCTCCAATCTGCTGTCACAATCTCTAAAGTTATCAGAAACCTGCATTTAAGAACACCTGTTAGAGTTCTATAGTTGATTAGTAACTACCTTCTAAAGAGAACCAAAACAATACAGTTATCTGTGGATGACAAAATGTTTTAGGGCAGCCACTATTAAAGCCACAATTGACTAGGAATTTGTTACATCTGTGGCTTACAACAATTTTACGTAACAATGATAATTATTAATAACATACACTAAGTCATATTAGAATTATAGAAGTTTCTCATAATTTTGGAACACATACCAATAACACAATTATAAAAATACAACCCAAAGAAAGTCAAACACCATTTCATATTTGACAGTGCTTTTTGTATGATTTTTATACCAAATAAGCCAAACTTTCCCATTGTATTAGTGCATTAAATTGATGTCAAACCCAATTTTTAATAAAATCTTATAGATAAATCTATCCAATTTTAATCAGTTTGACCATAAGGTAAGATTTTTACAAGCCTTCTATAATCCTTTAGAAGTTTGTTTATTTATTTATTTATTTTTTGAGACAGAGTCTCTTGCTGTGTTGCCCAGGCTGGAGTCCAGTGTCACGATCTTGGCTCACTGCAACCTCCACCTCCTGGGTTCAAGTGATTCTCATTCCTCAGCCTCCTGAGTAGTTGGGATTACAGGCATGTGCTGCCATACCTGGCTACTTTTTGTATTTTTAGTAGACACGTGGTTCATCATTTTGGCCAGGCTGATCTCAAACTCCTGACCTCAAGTGATCCGCCCACCTCAGCCTCCCAAAGTGCTGGAATTACAGGTATGAACCACCACGCCTGGCCCCTTTGCAAATTTTTGTTAAAGAGAAGATCAGTGTTCTAAGAGAAACCTGTTGTGCTTTTATTTCAATGTTCAATTTACAGAAAACCTGAATACGCCTTTAACCTTAGCCAATGTACACATGCATACTTTCTTTTATAAGATTAATCCTTCACAAACCTACAACTTGCTCAGACTTTCAGCTTTATCCTATCTACCTTAAAACAATCCTTTAGACTGGCATGATGGCTCACACCCAGCACTTTGGGAGGCTGAGGCAGGTGGATCACCAGGGTTTAGGAGTTTGAGACCAGCCTGACTAACGTGAAACTCCATCTCTACTAAAAATACAAAATTAGCCGGGTGTGATGGTGCATGCTTGTAATCCCAGCTACTTCGGAGGCTGAGGCAGGAGAATCGCTTGAACCTGGGAGGAGGAGGTTGCAGTGAGCCGAGATCCCGCCATTGCACTCCAGCCTGGGCAACAATAGTGAAACTTTGTCTGAAAACAAAAACAAAAAACCAAAAAACAATCCTTTAACCTTTTAATCTATGCAAAAAAAATTCACGTTTCCATGCCTTCTTTTAATCTTTTACTAAAAACATATTTCACTTTCCTTATACAAATTGCATATAAACTGTTTCTTCAGTAGTCTCAATTACATGTTACACTGTTAACTCTTAGCAACTTTTACTTTTGGTGAAAAACCTGGTTAGTAATCGATTTTAATTATGTATTAGGTATGGAGCCTAGAACACTAGATAAGGTCTGACTTTTTCCAGCATAGCTAGAGGGCATGGCTTTCAACATGTCCCCAGGCCTTATCTAGAATTTAATATTCCAAAGTAGGTAAATTGAACAATTTTCAAAAGTCAAAGAGGCAGTTTATGATGTTAAAGTATCGAAGAAACCCAATATCTGACCTGCATAATTTAGTCCAAATGTCTTTATTTTCCCAATAATCTTTAGAACTGTTATTACCCAAAAATTACTAAAGTTATGTGAACTAAAAGGCATTACAGTTTTTACTTTTCCAACAAAATATTTAAGCACTTTCTGTTTTTAAACCAATTAAAGCTCTTTTTTTTTTTTTTTTACATCACACACACAACACATATAAACACAGACAGAAGAAGATCCAGTAGTTGTAAGCACCCAAATATCAATCAGATAGGCTCATCCCCTAAGCTAGGCCTGAGTCCGGGCCGCCATTGTGATGGCAAAGACCAAGAGAAAGTACTGCCACATGGTTACAAGGTCAAGCTCCCAAGGACATAAAGCAAGATGAGAGGGAACCCTTATGCAGTTTTTCTTCAAGGACCTGCAGCAAAGTTTGTTATTGCCCAGTTTGCTGGGGTGGCTTGGACAGCCTACAGGGGTCCTAGGCCCACATTCTATCCTAAGGTACCCCTCATTATGACAGCACAATACAGAAAGACACATAAAGCATATCAGATTCACTATAGCTTAAGAGTAGCCTCACAAATCCTTTTTCCATTAATCAAAACTTTACAGAGGAGATAAACGGTGATTTTTTTTTTTACTGTTCATTCAACCGATTTGCACAGAGAGAGAGAGAGAGAGAGAGAGAGGCCAGAAGTCTGACTGGTAAGAAATTCTTACTGTTTTGTCAGAATGCTGGGCTTCTGGGTTCCCTTTCCTTGAGCAGCCCTAGGTACCCAGCTGCCTGCACCACAGCCCTGGGGGCCAAGCTGCAACACAAAGGAAAATTATCTTTTTCTGTTCTGGCCAGAGCAAGATATGTGTGATAAAACATAGACATTAGCCACCCTGCCTAGCACCCAATATCACACTGGCAGGGCTCAAACTTGCCCCCAGTTGGGCGCTATCATTATTAATCCAACCTCCAACCAGGAATTTCAACTTGTCTCTGGGCAAGACGGTCACCCTGAGTAATAGAAAAGATAAGAAAGGGAAAGGAGAGAGAGGGAGAAAAGCATTGCCTGAGGCACGGTGGGGAAGTCAAAGAGCTCAGGGAGGCCAGAGAAAGATGCACCCGATGCAACGACACTGAAGAGTTCAGGCAGCCACTTGTCGGGCTTGAAGGGATCTTTTCCAGCAGTCTCATCAGCTCTCAAGTTACCCCTTTTGGTCCTGTACGTGCCTAGTTTTGTCACCTATAACTATCAGCAGATAGTTATGCTACCTGCAGATAGAATGCAAGGCAGATTAATCCAAAGAGAAGAGCAGTTAACATCCCATAGTGCCAAACCCATTCTTAGCAGAGAAGGACTTTACTGAGAGAGGCCTCTAACCCCCTAAATCTTAGGAAGGACTCTAAACTTCCTAAGTTATGCCTCAAACTCAAGGTCAGTCAAGCATCTTTGCCTTTTATTGAAAGGAGCCTTTAACCCTCTCTGTCTTAGGAGAGACTCTTAACTCCCCTAAGTTGGGCCTCTAACCCAATCCCATCTTTTACCCAGGTATATGCACCCCACTTACCCAAACTCAGCCAATTGGTGCAGACAGATGATTTTCCTTTGGGTCTGGGGCCTCTTCAGTGTTGTTCCTTCCATGTTTTGCTAGAAAGCTGTTACCAGACCCCACCACATACCCAGAGTTAGCCTTTGGGTCAGGGATTTTCTCAGTATTGTCCATTCTGTGGTCGCTAGAAAGATGTTACCAGAAAGGGATCCCAATCCAGACCCCAAGAGAGGGTTCTTGGATCTCACTCAAGAAGGAATTCAGAGTGGGTCCATAGAGTAAAGTGAAAGCAAGTTTATTAGGAAAGTAAAGAAATAAAGAATAGCTACTCCATAGACGGAGCAGCCCTTTCTTGATTATATTTTCTTTTCCACATGTCTTAGATTTTAGGTTTTATTATTAATTGACAGAACTCTTGGGGGCAGCATTGCATCGTGAGGTTAGAATGATCTTCCTGGGTTTTCTGTTGAACTGTTTCTGTTGTGTTTGCTTAGGCTCTAAAGTCTTCTAGCCAAGAAATTTTCATTTGCCACTATTTAATTAGTATTTGAAATCTTAGGCTGATTTTTCCAATTTAACTCTTTCTGATGGCCAAAGAGATCTTAACATTTTTATAAGAGTGCTTTGAAAGAACCTTAAGCTATTTTCATTGTTTCTTTTCCCAGTGGCATTCTTAATTGAATTGTTTCCCATTTAGTATGCTCTGATGCCACAAAGACTTATCATAAAATATATATTAAGGTCAGTTGTGTGAAATTGTTACAACTTCTTCATAACATTGGGAAGATTTCAGAAAAAAAGTTCAGGGTGTGAAGTCATAGAATTGATTCTGAAAATAGAGCTTGAGCATAGTCACTAGTGATTACACCAAGCATTGCATGAATGGCTGAAAACACTATTTTTAAAAATAAAAATAATGAATAGTCAAGTTTACTCTCATTTTGTGTTGATTTCAGTGGTATTCTTGTGCCTGGAGGCTTCGGAGTCAGAGGAACAGTGGGAAAACTGCAGGCAATTTCTTGGGCAAGGACAAAGAAGATTCCTTTTCTGGGTGAGACTCATGTTTATTGACCCTTTAGATTTTTGACACCTAGGAGGGGTAACACCAAAGGTTTGTTACCGTAAAGATGTGAACTCAGATTTGAAAGTTCAGGTGCCAAATAGTCTGCTGTAGATTCAGCAAACTATATTCTAAATCTGGCTCACAGCCTGTTTTTATAAATAAAACTTTATTGAAACACATCCACACCAGTTTGTTTACACATTGTCTATGGCTGCTTTTGTGGTCCAGTGTCAGAGTTTCAGACCCTATGGCCTGCAGAGGCTAGAATCTTTACTATCCAGCCCTTTACAGAAAACGTTTCTCACCCTAGGAAAACTTGCTGCTATTCTGGCTGGGTAGCAGAGGCTGGGAGAAGGCTCCATATGTAACTATGCTTACCTTCTCCAATTCCCTCCTCAGTCTCCGGAGTAGCTGGGACTACAGGCGCATACCACTGTGCCTGGCTAATTTTTGTGTGTGTTTGTGTGTGTGTTTTTTTTGCAAAGATGGGGGTGTTGCTATGTTACCCAGGCTGGTCTCGAACTCCTGGGCTCAAGCAATCCACCCGATTCGAACTCCCAAAGTGCTGGGATTACAGGCTTGAGCCACCGTGCCCGGCCGAGTTGAGCCTTTTTAATGTTTTTGTTCAAGTTGTGAAGTGTGGCTTCTGTGCCAGGGAAACCAGAGGAAATGGGACCTTGATGTGGGAGAGGCAGCCCTGTAGCTGGGGATTCAGGCAGGAGGGGGACTGCGGAGAGGCTGTTTCCCACTGTGCAGTGGACAGCTGGGTGGGTTTATGAGCCGAGTGGATAGGCTTTTACTGCCAGCAGACCATTTATTTCCCCCATTACCTGCTCTTTGATTAGCTTCTTAGGCTGTCTCCTCTTAGGATCCATTTTCAAAATAGAAGCCTGGAGTAGTTACCCAGGTACATTGTTTTGTTTTACTGGTCTAAGCTCATCGGGGCCATTGTTTTCTTTTGAAGTTTTTGTCTAAATATGGCTAATGTTCCTCAGGTGATTTTAATGGTATGGAATGATGTGCAGGTCTTTAGCTTTCCCTCTAGCATAGCCTCTCTTTATGTCCCAGCCACATGGAACTTTCTGAAATCCCCTTCACCACCACCCCGCCCCCCAGGACTCAGCTGTTTCCTACTTATTGACATTTGTTCTGGCGTCCCTGATATATTGATTGCTCTCTTCTTTGTTTCCTCTGTGTACCTCTTGTGTATCTATCAGAGGAGCATCTGGGATGCTCTTCGGCATTTGTTTAGTGGAGAGAATTGGTGGACTGCAGTGAAGGCGGATGTGGGTCTGTGGCAACAGGCTTGGGCGACACCCGTCTGCCTTCCTTCATCACCAAGCCCTCTGTTTAGTCCCATTATGTGTCTCCTTCCCTACTGCTCACCATGCTCAGGGCCACTGTGGAGTGTCCAACCCCCCCACTGCTACTTTTCCTTACAGTGAAGCTTATGGGGTTGTCCTGTGGGTTAGTAGCCTGACGTCCTGTAGGTGCTCACCCTCTGGCCAATCCTGTCTTTATGGTTGTGAAGTCACCGTGAGAAGGAGTGGGAGATCTTAGCCCAGGAAACTCCCTCTGAGTTAGGGTGAAGGAATCAGGTGCTGTAGCCCACTGAGATGCCTCGACTCAGGGACAAATCTAGAAGGTGGCAGATTTAGAAGGTGGCAGATTTGTCCAATGGACCCCTCCCTCCCTCCCTCCATCCGAGTCTCACTCTTGTCGCCCAAGCTGGAGTGCAATAGTGCAATATTGGCTCACTGCAACCTCCGCCTCCTGGGATCAAGTGATTCTCCTGCCTCAGCCTTCCAAGTAGCTGGGATTACAGGCACATGCCACCAAACCTGGCTAATTTTTATATTTTTAGTAGAGATGTGGTTTCACAATGTTGGCCAGGCTGGTCTCGAACTCCTGACCTAAGTAATCTGCCCACCTTGGCCTCCCAAAGTGCTGAGATTACAGGCATGAGCCACTGCACCCAGTTGACCCTGCCCTTTTCTGACCTTGTGTTCCTTCTTTGTCAATTCTGGGCTTTAGGTGGCTTCTTGAAAGTCTAAGCCCCTGCCCTGCTCTCTGTCAGGGATTGTTCTGAGGGGACAGCAGGGAGCAAAACAGGCAGAGTCTTGCTCTCTGGGAGTCTGCATTCTAGGTGGGGGAGACAGGCAGTCAACAAATGAATAGAAAATATGAACAAATACAAAGTGTGTTCATTTGCTTTGCATATGTGCTTTTTAAAATAGGAGTTTGTCTTGGGATGCAACTAGCAGTGATTGAGTTTGCAAGAAACTGCCTTAACTTGAAAGGTAAGTTTGAGATTTGTTAATGACCATTTATTTAAAAAAATTCTCTCTTCAAGTATTTTTCAGCACTATTGTGAATTACTGAACTCTTTTCTTAATCTTCAGATGCTGATTCCACCGAATTTAGGCCAGATACCCCAATTCCTCTGGTAAGTGGCTTGTTTTTTTCTGGGTCCCAGTCATTGTTATTTGGGTCCTGGCTTTTGCCTAAATTCACAAGGGGCTATTGGCTGGGCATGGTGGCTCATGCCTGTAATCCCAGCATTTTGGGAGGCCAAGGCGGGCAGATCATTTGAGGTCAGGAGATCAAGGCTAGCCTGGCCAACATGGTGAAACCCCATTTCTACTAAAATACAAAAATTAGCTGGGTGTGGTGGCGGGTGCCTGTAATCTCAGCTACTTGGGAGGCTAAGGCAGGACAATTGCTTGAACCTGAGAGGTAGAGGTTGCAGTGAGCTGAGATTGTGCCACTGCACTCCAGCCTGGGCAACAGAGCGAGACTCCCTCTTAAAAAAAAAAGTATATGTGGGGGGCTATTATTATTTTTTCTTTACAACACCAGAACATTTTAAATTATATTATTCTTACATTAAATTCCTTTGTTCTTGATAGTCCGTCTTCTCAGCTGTGCCTTAAAGACAGTCACAGTCCTGGACTGATTTCTCTGTTGCAGCTTTCAAGCTTAATGTTTAGGAAAGGATTAAATCAGCTGTGACAACAATTTATAACATCTACTATAAATAAATGAGCTGTCCTGTCTCCAGACTCATCGCCAGTCTGCCTATTTTCCACACTGGTGGTCATCTGTCTTTCTAAAACAAAAGTGACAGTGATTCTGCTGCCAGTCCTCATCTTCCATCAGTTTCTTTCCCTTAAAATATTCAGTCCAGGATTCTGGGCTGGGTCCCAAAGCCATTGCACTCTGTCACCTGCTGCTTTGCTGATTCATCCGAAGGCGTCCTGATTCCTCCCAGGCTTTGAGTTTTTTGCTTTTGTGTGTTTTTTTTGAGGCAAGGTCTCTGTCACTCAGGCTGGAGTGCAGTGGCACGATCATGGCTCATTGCAGCCTAGACCTCCTGGGCTCAAACAATCTTCCCACTTCATTTTTTAAAAATTTTTTGTAGAGACGAGGTCTCACTATGTTGCCCAGGCTGTATGCCTTGAGTTTTATGTTTGGATAGTCTAAACTAGTTTTTCAGATGCAGCCTGAGGTTCCCTATACCTGAGATGTACCCCTGCCTAAAATCTCTCTCCTCCTGGAATCTCAATAAAACCAATGAAGAATTTAATTAACAACAACAATGACTCAGTTACCAACAACTTCCTATTTATCTGGGGAAGCCTTTCCTGACCTCTTTGCTTTCCCTGCCTTTGCCTTCTGCCCTGTGCTACTGTGCTCACCACTAACAGAGTGCGTTCTGCAAGGTGATGGTTGGCCTTCAGTCAGCCTGTTCGCCAACCGCCTGTGCACACCCAGTCGTGTCCCTGATGCTGGGCACCTACTTCTAATGGAGCTCACACCTCAGAATCACAATTGGATTTTTAAATAGCTCTTTTGAGATACAATTCATAGACCACAGAATTTAGCCATTTAAACTGTATAATCCAGCTGGATTCGGTGGCTCACGCTTGTAATCCCAACAATTTGGGAGGCCGAGGCGAGTGGATCACTTGAGATCAGGAGTTTGAGACTAGCCTGGCCAACAAAGTGAAACCCCGTCTCTACTAAAAATATAAAGAATTGCCCGGGTATGGTGGTGCATGCCTGTAATCCCGGCTACTCGGGAGGCTGACAGGAGAATTGCTTGAACCTGGGAGTGAGTCAATATTGTGCCATTGCACTCCAGCCCTGGGCGACTGAGTAAGACTTTGTCTCAAACAAACAAACAAACAGAAAACTGTATAATCCAATGGTTTTTAGCATATTCACAGATCTGTGCCACTCTCATTACAATCAGTTTTGGGCCATTTTCATTACTCCAAAAGGAAACCCCACACGCCTTAGCTGACATGCCTATGCCTCCTATCCCCACCAGCCCCAGGAAACCGTTAGTCTAGTTTCTGTCTTTATAGATTTGCCTATTTGAATCCTTTCATATAAATGGAATCATCCAATATGTAGCCTTTTGGGGCTGGTTGCTTCTACTTAAGATAATGTTTTCAAGGTCTATCTATGTTGTAACATGTAACAAACAGTAGTTTGTTTCTTTTTATTGCCAATTATTTCATTATATGGACATGCAACATTTTATTGATCCATTGATAGACATTTGCATTGTTTCTACCTTTTGGCATTGTGAGTAATGCTGCTGTGAACATTCATGTGTAAGTGTTTGTGTGGATGTATGTTTTCATTTCACCAGGAGAGTCATTGCTGGGTCATATGGTAATTCTGTGTTTAACTCTTTGAGGAACTGCCTGACTGTTTTCCAAAGTGGCTGCAACATTTTAATTTCCTGCCAACAATGTATGAGGGCCCTAATTTCTCCATATCCTTGTGAACATTTGTTATTTCTGTCTTTCTGATGATAGCCATCCTAGTGGATGTGAAGTGGTGTCTCATTGTGGCTTTGATTTGCAGTTGCCTGACGGCTGAGGATGTTGAGCATCTTTTCATGTGTTTATTGGCCACTTGTATGTCTTTTCTGGAGAAATGTCCATTCACATCCTTTGTCTGTTTTAAAATTTGGGTATTTGTATTTTTATTACTGAGTTGTAAGAGTTCTTTATATGTTCTAGATGTAAGTTCCTTATCAAATATATAATCTGTGCTATCGACATTTGGGAACAGATCATTCTTTGCTGTGTATGGGAGCTTCCGCCCACTAGATGCCAGTATCACCCCCTCACCCCTGCCGAATTGTGACACTAAAAGTACCTCCAGATATTGTTAAATATCTCTTGGGGGCAGGGGCAGAATCACTCTGGTTGAAAACCACTGATTTAGAGAAATCTAATTCTATTTCTGTCCACTGTAGTCTGTTCACTTATTTCCCTTATGGTAATCATTCATTCTTTTTTTCTCGGTTTATCTTTTTTTTTTTTTTTTTTTGAAGCTTTATGTCTTTGTAATCCACTCCCCTTCTTAGGGAAATGGTAGCATACTCTGCACAGTTTTTTCCTGCGTTGCACTTTTCACTTAGAACTATATGCTGGAGATCACCCCACAGAAGCACATAGATATATTCTTCACTTTTTTATAGCTTGTAATTCAAACCATAATGAACCATAACTTACCAGCCAGATGGTACTTTTAAGGCTTACGCTCAGAAGGCCTAATACCAATGAAGGGTTCCTTATGAGTCTTTGATATAAACATATTTCCTGACTAATAACTGAAATGGCTATGCCAGGAAAACTATGGGTTTTCTTTTCTAAGATATACTTTGGGATAGGAAGTGATTTTACCAGTAAGTGCCACTGTTACATAGTGTTGGCAAGGTTAATTCTTTGATGACTATTCTTTACTGGGAGTGTGTGTACATGCATTAAAATAATTTTATACACGGGGTAAAAAAGTTAAGCGCTGCAGAAAAGGTCCAAAACGGCCTCTCCTTTGTCCCCACCTCACTTTAGTTTCCTTCCCCAGTGGCAACTACTTTGATCCATTTCTTTCTTTCTTTTTTATTTTTTTAAGAGATGGGCCATCTCACTATGTTGCCCAGGCTGGATATTCTCAGGTATGATCATAGCGTACGATAGCCTCGAACTCCTGAGCTCAAGTTATTTTCCCACCTCAACTTCCCAAGTAGTTGGGACTACAGAGGCTTAGCTGATGCATCTCTTTAGTTACTTCAGAGATTTGTGTGTGTGTGTCGCTGTGTGTGTGTGTATACCCACTTAGCCACACACATATGAATATATATTCCCTTTACAAAAAAATCTTGACTGGGTACAGTGTTTCATGCCTGTAATCCCTGCACTTTAGGAGGCTGAGTTGGGAGGACTGCTTGAGTCTAGGAGTTTGAGAGCAGCCTGGGCAGCATAATGAGACTTTGCCTCTACAAAAAATAAATAAAATCAGCTGGGCATGGTGGAATGCACCTATAGTCCTAGCTACTCAGGAGACTGAGGTGAAAGGATCTATTGATCCCAGGGGTGAGCTACAGTGAGCTGTGATTATGCCGCTGCACTCCAGCCTGGGTGACAGCGTGAGACCCTGTCTCAAAACAAAACCAAACAGAACAACTTTGTAGCATGCTCGAGACACTGTTCCTATCTTGCTTTATATGCTGATCACTCCACATCAATGTGCAGGGTTATCTTCCAAGTGCTTGCCCTGCCGTGTGCTATACGGCTGCATCCTTATTTATTTAACCAGTCTCATATTTAGTTTGTGCCCATTATTTTGCTGCTTTAAATCATGCTGCAAATTAGTATCCATGTACATGTGTCCTTGCACCCACGCGTGAACACATCTGTGGGGATAAATTCCTAGAAGGGGAGTTGCTAAGTCAGAGGATGTGT